AGCTTCACTGCGGAGCAGAATGACGTGCGGGTAATATATTCCCTTGCAGTGCAGAGCAGCAGCCCTTGGGAGGAAAAGCCTGCCTTGCCTAGCCCTGGGCTCTCCTCTGCCTGTGAATGCAGCCCACAGGTTCAGCCACACAAGAAAAGCGCCCGGTTTGTGTTTCCCCGAGGCAGAGCAGTGGCAGGGGCTGTGGGAGCTGGGCAGCACATGTTGAAGAACGTGGGGCGATAGCCCTGCAGCCATGGGTCATGCCCACGTGGCCTTGGAAGAAGGGGCTGGGAGGGATGCGTTTTATTTCCTGCATCTTCAGCTGGTGCTGCCATCTCACTATCAAGTGACACTGCGGATATTGGGGAGCTGACATAATTTTCTGAGTGTCCCCACCTGGGCAGTGGTACGTGAGCAACTTCTCCTCGTGCGTGTGCATGCATGCACCTCCGTACAGAAGGGAAAGTGGCATTTCCCTCCATTATGCATGTGCATGGTTGTTGCCAGTGACCCCTCAGCCACACCTCTGCTCCCATGCCGTGGTCCACCTTGCTTTGCCATCATTTATTTAGGAAGGACTGGCATTGTGGCATTTGTCATAACCGTAGCTTGCAGGACTTGCAAATACAGAGGTAGAGCAGAGTCCTGTAGCCTCCCTGACAGGGGGCTCCCGTGGGAAAGCGGAGTGGGGGTCCTGGGCCAAGGGCTCCTTGTACAGACCTGTCTCATGCTCAAGAGCTTTGCTTCTGCCAAGGTTCGGGCCCTGCCTGTGGGTGTCCAGTGACCCGGGAAGGCTTGGGTGCTGACCTATGGGGCTTTTCCCTTTCCCATCCTTGAACTCCCCGGCTCCCTGCGAGACCAAGCAGCCCCCCTCGTTCACTCACATCTTTGTAACTCGGGTGTGAAATGGTTAAGCTTCATTTTGGAAAGCTTGAAAAGTCTGAGGTACAGGGCAGTTAGAGCTGCTGCCATCAGCTTTAGGAGTAAAGGGAATTAGCCATGCCCATCCCCTCAGCTTTTGTGAAATCTCAACTAAATCCCCATGCATTTCTGTGTGGTTATCTTCTCCATGTAATTGTGTCCTGCATAATCCATCACAGCTTTGACTTTGTTGCTTCAGTAATGGAAAAGTCTCCAGGTTCAGACAAATTCCCTATGCAGAGACAGAGGTAGTTATTAATGTGCAAATTAAAATTATTTATGCTGATGATGTCTGCAAACTGTTTTTCAACCAGAAAATTCTGTTGATCTGCGTCACTTGGACAAAGTTGAAGAGAGGCTGTGCTAGAAATAAACAGAGAATAGCATGGAGAGCTGTAACATAGCACTCTAGGTAGGCAAAAATATCTCACCAATGTAAGGAAACAGAACAATAAAGCATGAAGAAATTATTTGCTTCAAGGTTTTTCTTCTTTGCCATGCCAGTGAGACAGCAAACGGTGTCTGCTTGCTCAGCATTCAAGGGCCTGTTGTTCCCTCTGCTCTCCAACAGTCAGCTTTGGGCTTGGAGACCTCTGGGGTGGAAGTGTACATGGGCATGTAAAGACTTTTGCAATGGGTTGTATTTAAATCTTAGGTGAGCCTGGCCTGTCCTTCCCCTCTAAATCTTCACAGCCCTCCGGAACAAAGGGGAGCTGGGTGAAGCCCAGTGCTGCAGGCTTGAGGGAACACCCTGCTTTAGACTTTGAAACGCATGAACTTGCTACAAGGTGACGCGCTCCTGGGTCAAGCCTTAAGCTCCCTTCCCATTTGTCTGTCCGAAACCATCGCGAATGCGCTGTTTGGTTTACTTAGGCTGGAAATCACAGCAGGGTTACCCAGTCCTGTGGATTTAAGCAGTCCCAAGTTACTTGCTGGTTCGGACTTGGCGTAGTTTCTGCCCATGCTAAATTTATTCCAGGGCCATCAAAGATTTTTGGTATTGCACAAATAGGTAATTCAAGTCAAGTGTAGGTGAGGCTTAGCTCTGTGTTGATCTTTAGCCTGTCCACCATGCTCAGCTCCCCATCTCCCTTCTCCTCCTTTCCAGAGCTTCAGCGGCTATGGTTCACAATGTTTATTACAGGGGTTTTCTCATCTGCTAGGTTGAAAAAAAAGCTGATAACAGGCCAGAACCTTCAGGCTGCTTGCTTTCTTTCACAGGACTGTTAGAGAGTAAATCCAAAATGACAGAGAAATAAGGTCAGGAAATAATGAAATGTGGCTTAAGAGAGAATATGCCACTTAACCGAGGCAGATACCTACCATCCTCAGAAGAGGAGAGCTGCCACAGAGTGCAATTGAGATATATCCTGCAATGAAATGTAATGCTGTAAGTGCATTTCTGCAAAACACTTCTCATGTGGTGACTGCATCTACAGTGGCCTCCTACTTATTTCGGTTTGATTTTTTTTTTTTTGCTATCTGTGGCTGAGCTCTGGATGTTTGTGCCTGGCACGCTCACGGGGCCGTTGCCCTCTGTCCCCAGCTGTGTGATGGGCCCCGGCAGGACCGGCTGATGCTCAGGGCTGGGCTGGGCACCTCTCCCCGGGGAGGGCACCCCTCTGCCCACAGAGCAGGAGCTCTGGGCCACTTGCTTTGCCGTGCTGCGAGCCAAAATGCCCGTGTGGAGCCTGGGCAGTCCTGTGCTCCTCCAGCCCCTTGCAAGCAGCATGTGGAGGGGCAGGCGAACCAGAGCTACACCTTTGCTGGGTGGCTTTTATCAGTGGTGACTTATCATCTTACGCCGCCTTGGTGAAGCCTGTTAGTTCAGCTGGTGGGGGGATGTTTTAGTGCACCCACAGCTGCTGCTTCTGCCAAATAATCCAGGACATGGTGTGTAAAACCACACCATGTCCCAGATAAGCAAAAGGCAAAGGTCTGGTGCTTCAAGAGATCAGTTCTTAGTCTGAATGTATTCATATCTTCTTTGTATTTTATGGAGGTCGTCTCACCTTTCATTACTGTATGTGTCTATACAGTACGTGTTTTTAAAAAATACAAGGGTCCGAATTTAATCTGGAATGCCAGGAAGTGAGGTTGTGAGTGCCAGTGTTGTGAGTTTGCCTGGTATTTTTGCTTACCGATACCACCTCCAGCATTCAGCCTGTTTTTCACCATTAGAGGAGTCCTAGCATAGCCTTCATTTCAAAGATGACTCATTTCCCTTTCTGTAATACTCTTATGTCCTAGTGCTAATAATACCTCTCCAAGTGGAAGTCATTATTATAAAGGACTGCTGATAAACTGGCTCGTCCTACCTTGCCTCTCAGGTGGTATCGCAAATGGTAGCCTCAATGTTTTACCTTCTGTCAGAGAGAGTAATTTTGCTTTCAACCGTGGAACTTAATTAACTTCCAGAGATGTGCCTGCATCCCAGTGGAAACTTGTGGCCTTAACCACATAAACCCAAGCAGTGGTTTCTTTAAGGCACTTGTTCCTTGAGCCTTCGTTTATTGTGAGCAGACCAGGGCAGGGTATTTGCTGAGTGCCCTCTGCCCTGTGTATCAGGGTGAAGTAGGAGCAGCCAGGTGTGCCACAGGTGGTGCTGATGATAAAGAAGTACTGTGATTCATCTGATGAGGGATAAAGGATGCAAAGGCACCAACAGTCACTTTTCCAGGCTCTGGTGCTGGCAGTAAGCCTAGCACTCTCTGCGGCATGTGCTTTGCTGTAGAGAGGGGGGTGAAGGAATATGATGTTTTGGCTTTTTCCTGGTCCTGATTTGTGAATCCTGAATCCTGATGTCTTTCTTTTAGTGTGAACCCATTTTTAAAATGGCTGGTGGGAGAGAGAGAGGGATGCAATGTGGCTGGTGACAAATGTGGCAGCGGATGATCGTGTTGCTGTTCTGGCATATGGCTAACACCAGCATGGGAAGGATGTTATTTTAAGACCCCTCATTTGCTAGTGGAAGTGTGAGAAGCAGAACAGCGAGACGTCTCGCACAGCAACTGCGCTTTCATGGTAGACATCAGTTAACCTGATTTTTGTATTTAAAGAAAAAAAAAAGAGAAAAGGTTTGTTTTGTTTTGTAGAGCTTGCTTTGCATATGCCTGGCTGCACTATCCAAAGGGAAGAGGGTGGCAATAGAAAGCAAATACGTCCTCCAGGGACAGCCTGGGTGACGTTTGCTCAAGTCCTTCTCGCTGTGGATGCTGAGAGCTTGTTGCCTTTGGGAAGAGGGTGCTGAGGAGCAGAGGGTGTCAGCACGGTGGATGCCCTGGGTGCTGCTGGATGGGCTGCACCTCTCAGGGATGCTGGCCAGCTTTGTCTCTTGCCTCTGCTTCCCACTGCTACTGCTCACAGTGACCTGAGAATGCAACATTTCCCCCCAGATCACTGTGTTGCAGTGCTCGGTAGCTAATTAATGGAGCCCTTGCTTAAACCTCTGGTGTCCCAGTCAGGGCACAGAAGCCCTTTGCTGCTGGTGAGTTAGGCAGAAGAACTGGTACTTTATGTTGCTCATCCAGTTTTCTCTCTGCTGCCTCCCCGAGGATGCCAAGGTTATTATTTATTATTATTTAATAACCACACCAGCGGTGCATCCCAGCAGGGTCCCTGCAGCACCCTGTGTGGTGGGTGGAGTGGGAGTTGCTGGTGCTGCCACGGAGAGCTGCTGCCTGGAGCTGGGAGGGATGCGGCTGGGCAAGGCGGTGGTGGAAAAATTTATCTTACAAGTGTTTTCTTTGCTCACGAGGGGTTATAAGGGATAGGGAGGAAACTTAAACTTCTGTAGCATGGGGTGGGAGCCAGCTGTCTGTCTCACGCCACCCCATATTGATGCATCTTGTCAGTGAACCCTCCTTTAGGTCCCACTTCTGATCAGGTTACAACATGGTGCAGTAAAACCTGCCTCTTCCTTCACTGACTGGGATAATGGAAACTCCTTTAATAATTCAGGAGATAAATTCTGCGCTTGGGGTGGTGGATTTTGCAGGAAAAAGCGCAGACATAGAGGTGGTTCTTGGGTGGGCTGAGTGGGGATTGCCCGTGCTGACTGCCAGCCCTGTGGCCTTTCCTCTCCCCAGATAGTGATGTACATAGGCCAGGTCTCCAAGGACATCCTCAAGTGGCCTCGGCCCCTCTCGCCACCTGTCGTCAAGCTGGAAATGAGGGCAGACGCAGAGTACGGGATGCCTTCCACCCACGCCATGGCAGCTACCGCCATCTCCTTCTCCTTCCTCATCGCGACCGTGAACCAGTACAAGGTAGGGGGTACAAAAAGGAGAAAAAAAGAAGAGCACGTGTCTACTTCCAGCAAGCTACAGAAAACTAGCAAATCCAAAGCTGTCGCCGCTTCCAGAGGAGCTCTGTGTTTATTTTCACAGATGTGTATTTTTCCCTGTTGTTACACATAGCTGGCCAATAACAAGCACAAGAAATTTAGCAGAAATCTTTCTCTGGCACAAGCCCTGCTCAGAGCTGCGGGCAGGCTGCGCTGCCCTGCTGTGGTTTGGTGGGTTCATTGTGTTTTTGTGTGTGGGGTGACCATGGAGGGAGCTGCAGAAGATGCCTGGTGTCAGTGTTTTGTGCTCGCCCAGCAAGCCAGTGCAACGCCTTGGGAAACGCTGGCTCCCAGGGAAACTGAAGGATCTCTGTGTCGCCTGTTTTTTTGTATGATGCAGGAAAAGCATCCTTGGAAATCCACTGACTCTTACTTGTGTTAGACTAATAGCACATAACATGATTTGAGAGCCTGTTTGTCAGAGAAGTGACAGCAGTTTCACTGCACTGGAACTGTAGGCCGCTTGGGAAGATCTCATAATTATTTTCCCCAAACCTCCAGCCTTTTCTCTTTCTAAAGGTTAATTTCCCAGAAACTCATTTCTTCATGATGGTCATTTTCATTTAACTGTGTTTCCTGTACTCTAGCAGTAACAGCTTCCTGACTGCATCTTATTTAAGCATGTTTCTCAGCCCTCTCAACTGTATTTCAAAGATAAACACGTATAACCAAGAGTACGGCCAGGGGGGTCTCGCTGTCACAGTGTCCCTGGGTGTCCTCCCCAAGGTGTCAGCGCTGTCACAGTGTCCCTGGGTGTCCTCCCCAAGGTGTCAGCGTGTGTGCAGGGACAGAAGGTGGCCACTCTTTTGATGAAAGGGGCTGTGTCCTGGGGCTGTAACTCAATAGAAATGGAGATCTCTGGAGTAATTTAACTCACCCAGTCCCACCTGTGAAGCAGTGAGCTTTGCTCCTGCCTGTGGTGCAGGGATGAGGGAGCAGGTCAGTGGTGCCCAAAGCTGCACTGCCACCCTCCTGCCCCCGGGAATTGCATGGTAAGTGGTCAGAGCAGCTTGGCAGAGGAGGAGCCTTAAGATGGGGTATTTGTCAGCCCTGGAAGAGCAGATCCATGTGTCAGAGCTGCTAAAAAGACCTGGTCAGCAACACTTTCTCCTCCTCCTCAATCAGTAAGCTACCAGTGGGACATGCAGCTCTTCATGGGCTGTCTTGTACTTCTTGGAAACTGCCATGAAACAATAAAGCTGCTGTAAAATAATTAAATGATTTAATTGCCTCTATTAAGAAGGAAAAAAATCTACCAGTACATTATGTTGCTATCTTTTCAAGCTGCCCTAGTCATCAATTACCGATCTGGACTAGCTCCCGGGCTGCCTGCTGAAGGGGGAATAAAGTGGGCATAAATCCTCCAAAGGCTTAGAGAAGTGAGGAAAAAATAGTGTTTTATGAACTGGGAATGACATCTGCAGCCAGGCCTGAGCTCTCTATTCCAGGGGCTAGAGTATGCCATGGGGAAAGGGTCAGAAGCAAGTTGTTATGCTTAAAATTTCCACAGAAGCATTTTTGCACTGACCTGTGGCCACTCCCGTCAGTCATCAGCCTCTCAGCAGTGGATGGAGAGTTTGTGTCTCCATTTAATTGGGTTGGTTTATTTTTTCAGAAACTTCTCCTTCATGGACTGAAAGGAGCCCACCATCCCACTTGGTTTCAATATTTGAATGAGTGGGTTAAGGGCTAAGATGTTAAGATTATTCTGTACCAAATGTGGGAGTTTTTAAAATTTTTAAATGTTGATTTGTTTCAACACTTCTTTCCTCGTTTGTAGGCAACTCAGAGAGAGAGTTAAGCAAAACCAGCTTCATAAGAAGACGATTAAACCTTGTCACAGGGAAGAGTGGTCCTGACTGCTCTAATAGCTGGATTACGGTTTCAGCCCAGACATTGATTTTCCCCTCTCAGCCCACTGCTCGAGGACTATTGATCATGCTCCTGGTCAGGCTCTGCAGCTATCATGTTCCCCTCAGGCGACCTGAGGCTGCAGTTCAGCCTCGGGCATCGCTTGTACAACGTGCTGTGCCTTTTTTCCCTGAGGTCTTTAGCACTAGCATGGATTCTGCAGGTAGATATAGTGGTGAAAAACTCTGCAAATGCCATCTATTTCCCAGGCTTCACCTTCACAAAAGCGGGCACCACAGATAACAAAGTGACATTCCAGCAGGTTTGCATGTTGGCCGATGTGAGGTCTTGTCTCTGGTCACGTTAATCTCTTTGGGAAAGTACAGCTCAGGAGCCACTTCCCAACATGAGATCCTTGCATCAGTCTGGCTGCTTGGGTGTTTTATTCAGATATATACTCATGTTAAAGTGGATAATGGTGTAATGGGTGTATTTTTATTTTTTTTTCCCTTTTCACAGTATCCATTCGAACTAGGCCTGGTAGCAGCGTTTGTGTTTTCGACGCTGGTGTGTCTCAGCAGACTCTACACAGGGATGCACACAGTCCTGGTAAGGATGCCTTGCGCCGTCCCGTGCTGGTCGTGCCTCCGGCTCTGCTTACCCACAGAGATGCCCAGCTCCCACTCTTCCAGCGATGTATGTCCTGCCTTGGCCGTGCCACTGCAGGAATACAGGAGTCACGCCACTAAATGTCAGGCTGTACATTGAAAAGCAGGTGTGAGAAAACCCTCGGGCTATTGCTATTTGAGTCTGCAGGGGAATTATTTATACCATTAGGGAAGCAGCAGTGCATGTGGGTTGAGGAGCCGGGTGAGGTCGGTGTGGCATCTGACTTGTAGTTCTCTATTTTGAAATTTTAATTGCAAGGAATGCACTTGGGTAACTGACGCTGCTCCTTAGCTAAGCCTTTTGTGCAATAGTATCACTGTTGTCAGCGAGAAATATTCTGGGCTGGTTTAGCCTGGGAGTGTCAGGGAAGGAATAGCAGGTTGGTGAGTCACACCGGTGACCACTGGAGAGCAGAGGAGAGGGTAGAACGTGACAAATGTGAGCTGCCCCTGGGGGGCTGGGGGACACAGTGTCTCGTGTTACCATACAGGGACACGACACTTAAAAAAATTTATGACAAGCTTCTTGTTTTCAGCTGGAAGGAAGTTCATTCTTAAAGTACTGAGATGCACAAATACTTTGTCCAAAAATAATCATAAAATATCTGTGACTATATGACAGACTTGTTGGGCATAGTTGTTCAGAGAAGTCAGTGATGCTTTAAGAACAGATTTCAGTTTAACTTTGATTGCACAGTAGCTAGTTCCTTCCTGATGGGAGGAAACATTATTGATCTGTTATATATAGTGGTCAGAGGGGTGGCCCAGCTTCCCAAGTATGGATAAAAGCTCCCAGCTACTTCCCTGCAGGAGTTGGTTATATGCATTGTTGGTTGGTTACATATGCATAAATAACTGCATTTTTTAACTAAGTAATAATTATGTTTGTAGTAAGGAGACTTAAGGACTTGAAGAAAGGGAGGCCTTATGAGATTAAGGTTATCTATAAAATAGAGCTTGACCTTCCCTTCCAGGCCTGGTGGATCAAAACGATATCTTAAATCGAAGCTGGAGACACCCTTCCTTGGCTAGTGACCTTAAGTCAGTCAGTAAAAATTCTTCGCATACTTCCCTTGCTGGTCCATCGTAATGAAAGACTTCTCTAAATTTAGATGGATTTTAGGGTAGGGAAGAAAAAGTCCTTTGTGCCTTTGACATGATAAAAAGTGCTTTAAAATAAAAAAAAAACCTCCTTAGTTGAAGTGTGAGTAATGCTGCCTTTCAAAAGGCACATGTACTTCCCTGGGGTCTTCATCTCGTGCGTGCCATGGTGGGGCCAGGGCAAGGTCTGATGGTCCCAGCTGCAGCCCCTCTCTCTGCGCCAGCATCCCACCTGCACTGGCAGGTTCTTTTGGGGAAGAAGTGCCCTTCAGAGCCATTTTCTATGCTTTGAGGGATGGCTCCCACCCCGGGCTGCCCAAGATGCCACGGGACCGAGGTGCAGCAGCCGCTCAGCCAAGCCACCAGCTGAAACAGCCTCTGTCTAATGGATTTTTAACTGAGGTTTTAATAGAGAGTGAATACTGACAGGATATAATTATGTATTAAGTGAGCATAATATTTTAGTAAAGCAAATGAATGGGTAACATATGCCTACCGACTTACTGTAACTGAATTTTTCCCGTTTGAGGAACAAGGAGGAGTGGCAAGGAGGTGGCACCGTGCTTTGCTACAGCCATAGCTGGATCTCCAGTGCGGAGGCTCATCTTCTGTAGTCTCAGCTCTACAAATCAGTCTGTATTTCAGCATTGCTGGCCTTGCTTTCAGATCGGGAGTGGCCTCAAAAATCACAGTTATGTCAACAGAAGAGAAGTTACCATTAAAGATCTTCTGGAGAGTCAGTAAGCTGGTATGAGAGCTATCTGCATCATTTTAGCCGTGTCAGAATGAATATTACGGTTAGGGAAAAGGGAATAAACACCCATTGCCTGGGCTGTTATCAGGAAAGCATCACTCAGCCAGAGAATGGGGTGGAAGCAATGCACTTGTGTGGCTAATTACATTGTGTTGTTAATTACAACAACCCATCCTCACCACCTCAACACCGAGAATATGCCGTGTGTGTGAAGAAGCAGGTGAAAGGCAGGGTGCCTCCTTTTAGTTCTTAAATGAGGGAGTCTGAGGATCTGGTGAAGAGGGAATTTGGAGTTAACTGGGAAGGACAAAGCAAAAATTTGGACACATTTTGAAGCAGCAAATCTGTAACTTTTTAGGGGTTATTTTTAATGAACAAAAGGCAATTGGAGACAATAGGACTGGGGTTTTATTGTTTGCTTTTTTCCCACAGAGTTGTATTTTAGAAAATAGCCCTTTACCCTCAATCCTCAAACTTTGGCCCAATTTTTGATGTCTGCCTTAGTGAGGTGAACAAGTTTTCCTGTCTCACCACTGCTGGAGCACATCTTAGTCATCTCGTGTTTGAAACTATGAGCGACAGTGTTTGTCTGAGTGCAGAGTGTTCTGGAAAGGTGTGAGCAGGATCATTGCAAATCCTGTCAGGAGGGAGGGCAGCCCCCATAGCCAGGGGAGGAGGGGAGGCTTTTAGGCCACCTTTTTTTTAACCCTTCAGGGCCAGCAGTATGAATTTCTTAATGCATCAAGCTGGTGGGTTTGCATTTGCTGTGGCGGCAGAGCTGGCTCTCCTCCCGGCTGCGATGCGTGTTCTCCCGTCTGCAGGCAGTGGCGGGGGCCTGGGCAGGCACCAGTCACACCAGAGCCACAGCTGATGGTGTGACAGCCTTACTGGTACTGCAGCTTCCCATTTGCACTGCCCTGGGTTAAAAGCAATAATGCCCTGTGCCAGCCAGCATGGGGGGTAGGGTACGGGGACAAGTCAAAAAGTCACTTTTCATGGCCAAAAAGACACCTGAAAGTCGTTTCTGTAATTAAATTAATTTTTTTTTTTTTTTCCCCCCGGGGATACACTGATTCTGTGTTGATGCGTTTATTGCTGATTACAGCACCTTCAGGAGAGGGTACACTGTAGCCCCCACCCTGCTCCTTTGCTGTGCTGTACCTCAGTTTTTTTAACGCCACCAGTAATCCTGAAATTATCTTAAAATATTTTAAAGCTGCTAAACAAACAACATATTGGCATCGCTTTACACACTGTGGCAGTACAGTCCTCGTGGGATGAAACAGAGTAACCTTTAGGAGTGGGAAGCAAATAAGATATTTCTGATTAGGAGAGCAAGTAGCGTCTCACGCTAAATGAAAGCGTGAAGGGAATTCGGGCAATTAGTGGCCACCTACAAGACAGACTAGGAGAGGTGTTATTTTTGCTTTGATTGGCAGTATCAGGGAAGATGCTTGAGCGCCACTGTGTTTGGGGTGCTGGTTCGATACCCTGCGGGCATTTTGTGAGTGAGTGCAATTCCAACTGTAGTTTCAGTGGGAAGAGCACAGAAGGGTCTTGCTTTCAGAAAGCTTTGGCAATCCTAAAACAAATTGTGCTGTGAGACCTCAGGAAACAGAAACCCCATCCCGGCAGAAGGCATTTTGAAGTGCCCCAGTCCTGCATCCCAGGCATCATGTGCAACTGGATGTTTGCCTCTGTTGTTTTTCTTTATGTACGTGTAACACAGGAAAATAACTTACACCGTTAGAAACCAAATACCGGCCTGTTCTTTGGGTAGCAAAGCAAAATGACAGCGCTCTAGTTAAAATCAATAGGAGCGAGGCCTCCCTCGTGTGGAACCTGGGCAGCTGCTCGTCGCTGGGGGGCAGGCAGGGGGGTGCTGTGGGGGGATTTTTGGAAGGGAAGGAGCCTGTGGGGGACTCGTCTGTGCTGAGGGAGCTGGAGCGTCCCAGCAGGGAAACGGGAGGTTTTAAGCTTTGCCGGTAGTGCTGCACCTTGAGCAAAATGGGTGCCTGCCCTCATTTAAAAATTCCTTTATAATTGCGGGTTTGGCAAGAGCCTAATCTGTTTACACAGGCAGACGGGCAAGAATGTGCTTCCTGGGAGTGCTAACAGCAGGGAAAAGCTAAGGTCTTGCTCCTGGGTGCGCAGTAGGGAGAGTCCAGAAAAGCAGTTTTTCTCACAGAAATCAGAGCCATCCCTCTTCTTTCCCTCTTCTCCTTACTTACAGGCGAGGGGTGAAAATCATTAATTCTGAACTGCTAAATGTCTCTCTAATGTGCTGGTCTTGAACTCACCTGTCTCCTCTGGGTATTCAGAAAATCAAACCTCTGGCTGTGTGTACCAGAACCAAAGGGAGTCACTACTGATGGCCATGGTTGGGGATGTCCCACGCTCTCCAGCAGCTTCTAGTGAGGAGTCTCTAAAATGAGAAGCCCATGTATTGGCGGATAGGGGGAAAACCAGAATAAACCACTGGTCTCCAAACTTTTTTGATCAATAGAAAAATTTTGAGCATGCACCCCCAATATATCTATATTTACTTATGAATTATATGCATGGGCTACTGTACTGATATGTACATTATAAAACATACACAAAAATATAAATTAAAAAAGGATGAGATAAGGATGATATAAGCACTACTTTAAAAAAAAAAATTACTTATTAGTGGTTCAAAAAGTATTTTCTTACCAGAGCCCAATGCATTGTCTTGCACACCCACTTTGGAGGCCACTGGTATAGGCCAGTGGTCGGGAGCAGAGCTAGTTGTCTGGATACCACTTGAAAACTCCAGGAGCCATGTTACTCTACTGGGTCTGAATGGGAGGATAATAAAATTCAGAAAACTTTAATCAGGTCTGTAAATAGAGGCTGTCTGCGCACTGGCCAGGAACTGATGGAGTCAGCTGGGAAAATCTGAGCAAAGCCTTTGTTAGGGGAATGTTAATGTTTGGTTAAATGTCCTTAATTGGAACAGAAAAGCACATGAACAACTTTTGAGTTTCATGCCTTAATCACACATGGAGGAGATATTGAGATGTCAGGACTTTTTCTTCTAATATGAGGTGGGCAAATAGTGGGGTAGGAAATGGAGGTTCACAGTGGTCATGGGATTTCTGAGCATCAGTGCTGGGAGCAGCTCTCAGATCTTTCGTGTTGATGCAGTTACTTAGTGTTGAGCTAAAACGTACCTTTGTGTGTAAAGTTATCACCTAAAAACTGGTATAAAAAAATGGATTACTGTGAAATATTGACACCTAATGGTATTTTACATATTAGACATCTGTGAACAGCTTTGTGTATTTCCATGGCTATCCTCATGTCATGGATGAGGGAATAAATGTAAGTGGAAATTTGTATTAGGAATGTGCAAAATAACTCTGGGAGTTGCTTAAAACCAAATGCGCTGTGAATCTATTGCCTGGAAAGTTGTAAACAGCTAAAGTTCAGCCATACTGGAGTAATGTATTTACCAGAAAGTCATTAAATATTTCTGCTGTGAAAAAGTCCCCTCATTCCTGCCTAACTGTAAGTGAAGTTCTCATAAATAATTCATTTTAGACTGTGACCAAGCATGATGGTGGTCAACTGTCATGACTGTGTGAAAAAGATGCAGTCTTGAGAAGAGAACATTTCTTCCTGTGATTCGCTTTTGCAGTGCATTTCATGGTCAGAGTACAAACTCTGCTTCCTCCTGAGCGATGCTGGGAGAGCGGCGCAGGGAAACTTGTTATATTGCTTTTTACATGGCTGCTCTCATAGAGACGACTTTTGTTAGGGGTTACCTCTTGTTTCCTTTCCTAGCCATGCAGTTGACAACAGTCAAGTTCTCAAAACACCTTATTTGCCTCTGTTAATAAATCAGGTTTTAACTATGTGCTTGCCTCGGGCGCTTTACTGCAAGCTGGATTTCAGAGGCTTGGGCAACAAATTCCTTCTTGGCATATTCCTGCCCAGCCGTGCCTACCTCTTGCTGCGGTTGGCAGAAATCACAGCACACGTACCATGTCCTGCAGCTCTGTGCTTTTCTCCCCCGGAGCCTGTGTTCCTGGGCTGGGTCCTTGTCTCTGGCAAAAGACAGCATCTCCTCGTTTATGCAAAGCAAGCAAGCAATAATCCTACTGATATGATGGAATTGCTTGTAGGATTATGGGAGGGGAAGGGTTTGTATGAAGGCAGCTTGCTGTGATATCACCCCTGAGATGGAGTTCTGCATGTGCCTTTTCCATTGAGGTCATAGGTGGAGAGTGCCCTGAAAACATGAAAGCAGGGGAGGGAAAGAATCTCACTTGTTCAGGGGAAAAATAGGTATTGATAAATACATTCACATGGACAAGCTGAAGGCTGCGTTCGCGGACTGTCACGTTTTGTTTAGCACAGGCTTCAGGCTGTCACTGCATGTGGACAGTGCCATCACTGAATTCAGGGACTTCCTCTCCTGCTGTGCACCCACAAATGCAGATACTGGTCTTTTTTCATCACCCAAGAATATCTGTTTTACCTTTCAGGTCTCACAAAGCCTTTAAACATGATCTCTTTGCAGGACGTGATCGGCGGAGCGCTGATTTCGGCTGTGCTGCTTTTGCTCTTGTATCCTGCGTGGGACATGATAGATCACTCGCTGTTAACTAGTCCCTTCTGTCCACTGCTTTCCATAGTTGTGCCTCTTGTCTTATGTTACAACTACCCCAAACTAGACTATTACAGCCCTACCAGGGGAGATACCACTACTATCTTAGGAGCAGGAGCTGGAGCAACTGTGGGATTTTGGTTAAATAACCAGTACGCTGCGCCAGCCTACACCAGCGAAAATTTTCAGCTTGGATTTCCTCTGATCACCGGTAAAATCATGGTGGTTGTACTAGCCAGGTTCTTTGTAGGGATCTTTGTTGTTCTACTGACGCGCCAGCTCATGAAGAGTGTGGTCCTTGGCATGCTGGGTTATCGGTACAAGTTTCCCATTGGCGACCTGGAAGCCCGGAGACGACTGGAAGTCGAAGTGCCCTATAAATTTATAACGTACTCCTCAGTTGGCTTCAGTGCTACCGTGATTGTGCCGCTGCTGCACAAGCTGTTAGGGTTGATGTGAGCGCAGCGCCTTCCTTACAATGTGTGGCACCACCATTTCAGAGACGCGGTAAGTCCATCAAGACTGGTAACTTGACCAAAAAGTGTTTTGTGCCTTTCTACACTGATGTGGTGGGTTGACCCTGGCTGGAGGCCAGGTGCCCACCAAAGCAGCTCTATCACTCCCCTCCTCTGATGGGCAGGGGAGAGAAAATATAATGAAAGGCTCGTGGGTTGAGGTAAGGACAGGGAGAGATCACTCACCAATTGCCATCTCAGGCAAAACAGACACAACTTGGGGAGATTAGTTTATTACCCATCAAATCAGAGTAGGATAACGAGAAATAAAACCAAATCTTAAAAACTCCTTCCCCCCACCCCTCCCTTCTTCCCAGGCTTAACTTCACTCCTGATTCTCTCTGCCTCCTCCCCCCCAGCAGTGCGGGGGGACGGGGAATGGGGGTTGTGTTCAGCTCATCACACCTTGTCTCTGCTGCTCCTTCCCCCTCCGGGGAGGACTCCTCACACTCCCCTGCTCCAGCGTGGGTCCCTCCCACGGCAGACAGTCCTCCACGAACTTCTCCCACGTGAGTCCTTCCCGCGGGCTGCAGTTCTTCACGACCTGCTCCAGCGTGGGTCCCTCCCAGGGGGTGCAGTCCCTCCGGCACAGACCGCTCCCGCGTGGGTCCCCCACGGGGTCACCAGTCCTGCCAGCAAACCTGCTCCAGCGCGGGCTCCTCTCCCCACGGGCCCACGGGCCCTGCCAGGAGCCCGCTCCAGCGCGGGCTTCCCGCGGGGTCACAGCCTCCTTCGGGCATCCCCCTGCTCCGGCGCGGGGTCCTCCCCGGGCTGCAGGTGGAGATCTGCTCCTCCGTGGGCCTCCCCGGGCTGCAGGGCCCAGCCTGCCTCCCCACGGGCTGCACCTCGGGCCGCAGGGGAATCTCTGCTCCGGCGCCTGGAGCACCTCCCGCCCCTCCTGCTTCGCTGCCCTGCTGCCTGCAGAGTTGTTGCTCTCGCGTGTTCTCGCTCCTCTCTCCAGCTGCAGGCGCTCGGGTGTTTTTCCCCCCTTCCTAAATCCGTTACCCCAGAGGCGCTACCGCCATCGCTGCTGGGCTCGGCCTTGGCCAGCGGCGGGTCCGTCTCGGAGCCGGCTGGCGTTGGCTCGGGCGGACACGGGGGAACCTTCTGGCAGCTTCTCGCAGCAGCTGCCCCTGTAGCCCCCCCACTGCAAGAACCTTGCCATGCAAACACAATACAACTGGCCTAAAATACCCAAATTGGAAGAATCATGGGAATTTCTGTACACAAAAAACTTAGGGTTAGAAATCGCTGACCCCACTGTGTCACATCATTAGAGACCCCTGGCCCAGCTGACTAAAGATGACAATTACAGAGCACAAAGCCAGTATCTCCCTGCTGGAGCAGCAGCAGTGGCTGGTTTGCCATGGGTCTGGGGGTGCGGGGAAGCGTGGCTGTGCCTGTGGGACACCAGCCCCGTGGCTCTGAGGGCTGTGAAACCACTGTGGGATTGCTTCTGCTGAAGCAGGAGAGAAAGCCAAGGAAGGGCTTGTGTTTGGGGCATGGGGGAAAGAGACAACCAACCAAGAGCAAAACGCTGTCCTTGGGGCATGCAGAGCTCTGTCTGCACCCCACTGTCCCCTGGGGACTGGAGGTGAAGGAAGAATGGCTGAAGATGGGAAGGTGATGTGGAGGTGGAGGGAGGTGAAGGCCCTTCAAGTGCTGGCCCCTTCCCGCTGTTGGGCTTCAGTGGGAGCATCCTGCTGGCCCAGACAGTGGGTTTCTTCAGCAACCAGTACTGGCAGAGGTCAGAAATGGCCCCACTTGGGTACAGTTGAGAATTTTCCTAAAGAAATCTGATGATTATTGTACTTGGTACTTGTCAGTGTTGTCTGACAGCACTGCCAGACCTGGCTAGTTCTGTGTGTATGGTTTTACCCACTGCAATCCCTCAAAAAAAAAAAAAAAAAAAAAAAAAACCAAAAAAAGTAAAACAAAAAAGAAAAAATACAATGCAAAACATTTTAAGTAACACATTTATCTTGGATATCAATAAGAAAGCCTCCACTAAAAGATTCTTTGCCTGTATGCAACCGAGCGGAGTTGTTACCACAACGTTGAGGCTTGCGTTTAAACTGTTTAATTGTGATTTAGCTTCCCTGTCTAGGGGATGGGACAAAGTCCTTCCTATCATGTGGGGGTGACAAATAGTGTCCTTAAACTGCGTTGTGGAAGGAGCTGAGTGGTGACTCTGGTGACTACAACGTGTGGTGATGATAAGATGCCGTCATTTTCTGGTGCTGCACAGCATTATGGTTGGTCTTCCATGCATCTTGCAATACTGTTACATACTTGTAGAATAGCAGTTGAGTGTTCATAGGAGGGTCATTGCTATAACTTGGGCTGCTTATTTTAGAAAAATATATATCAGCTGTTGGACCAATGAGCTGTTGAGAAATACAGCAGTGAATGTGGTCTGCTTGGCTAGAAAAATGTAACACACTGCGACCACGGAGCTTCAAGCATGGCCCCTGTGCCTTTCCTGGCAGAATGGTCAGTGAAAGCCAGCTTTTTAACCATATATGCTTGTCTTTTTGGCTGCAAGAAAAGTTAACCTGAAGAATGTAGAGGAGGTGCTTTGCCATCAGTTCACTGCTTGGATAAATATAATCAAGTTCTAAAAATGTAGCTGGGAGTTTTGTCTGAGGAGCGGGAGGCGTGCCTGTGAAAGAGCCATACAATTTTAAAACCAGGTTAGTAGTCTCCAGAAGAAACGCAGGCAGAAATTTCAACCAATTTTAGATTTGCCAAGGCTGTGGATAAATTGTTTTAAATCAGGCTATGTGGACTTTACACATGCATGCAGCAGCTTGGAGGAGTCTTTTAGCAGGGTATGTGCCCACTTACGTGTGCCCGTTGGTGAGCACTGGACTCGGGCCACCAAAGCCACAGGGTCCCGTTCTCAGTCTCCCTCCTTCCCACACACCACAGAAATTCTGCCATCTGGCTTTAAAACACCTTTAAAATACCTTCTGTTAAGAGTGCTTTATGATATACAGCTGCATGGCAGAGCAGAAGCCCTGTGGAGGTGCCACATCACAGTCAATGGGACCGAAATTGGGAAAAAAAAACTTGACAGCAAGCTGAGTGTTTAAGCCAGGGGGTGGAATCAGTCTCAAGAAAGGCACAGTTTGACAGGGACATTCATGCAGTTTTATGTGTACAAGTTCTGTTCTGAATCACAGCTATTTTATGCTATGAAGATTTTATAAATTATATATAAATGCTTGGATTTATAAAGTATGTGCACAGATATTTTTATCTTTTATAGTATTCCTCTGCATAGTGATTCATGCAATACATGCAAACTGTATTTGGTTCAAATTTAAAAATATACGTATTTTGCAAAATTTTATGTTGCTTTGTTCATTTTGCATCCTCTATTGCTACTTGCAAATGATTAATGCCAGCAGAATGAGTCACAGTTTAAAAAGCTTCCCAGATGCAACCACCCACCTCTCTTCCCAAGCTGGCCTGCTTGTGGGCTCGTCCCCTGCTCAGTCTAGCTGTGAGCTTCGGATCCTCGGGGCTCAGCAGCAACATCCTGCTTTTTTAAAAACATTAAAAAAAAAAAAAAAAAAAAGAGTACTAATTACTCACAACTGTTTGTTATGTCCTTTGCAAATGGAAGCATGTGAGTTGCTGTGTCGTTAGTGATGGTGGATGCTTGGGCACCTGGAATCTCCTTCACCTGCAATATCTACCTCTAATAGACAAAACAGTTAATTGGAAGCTGAATTTGATTTTGAATTAATATATGCAATTATAGCATGACATCCCATAAACTACAAAATATTTCATATTCATTGGGGAGCCTAACCAGGTTTTGTTGTTAAGGATGTATATTTGAAAGGTAGGTCTGTGTCTTTCCCTCATCATCATGTCCTGCCTGGAAGTGGCATGCCCACAGCTGAGTGGGGTGAGCCCTGATTGCAGCAGCATCCCTGGGCTGCTGGGACCAGGCAGTGCTTTCAGCTGCACTTTGTGCTGAGACTGTGCTTGTGGGGTGCTCACAGGACTGCAGCCGGTCTGGCAGGGCCAGGCTTGAAGAGGCAAGTTCTTTGGCAAGGTAAGACACATCACTCTTCCTGTACTTCATAAACCTGAAGCACCAGGTCCTCAATGCCAACCCATGTGTGTCTCTGGAAATGCTCCCCACCTCTTAATTCCTGCAGTCTGGGTGCCTCTGCATTTCCAGTGTGATGGTAGAAAATGAGGTTTTGTGGCCAGTTTGCTGGTCATGTTCTGTACTCAGTAACACAGAGGTGTCAGCTGAATCCTCTTGAGTAGGCATGCTTGGTTTTTAGAGAAAAGCACTGCCTTTGATGTGAGTGGGGGAGGAGATAACTTCCAGATACGGAGCATCCGCCCTGGAGCCTGGGCTGTTGACTTCTCAGTACTTTCGGGGTCCAGCACTACAGCTCTCCATCCCGCAGCCTCCCTCAGCTGCAGAGGTGGTGCCAAGCCAATCTTTTTCTAAATTTCCTTCATTATGCTGTCAAGAGGGACGTAGCAGGCATCTCACCTTTAGCTTACTCCACTCTGTCCTACCTTGAGGCTGCCTCTTCCTGGCGTGCTGGCTCTGCAAACCGCTTTCTGGGTGTGTGGTGCCGATCCAGGCTTCCTCCTGCTGCAGGGCATCTCTGTGTGCCGGGCCCTCGGCACAGAACCAGCTACCCTGGCAGTGGCCAAATGTTACTGCACCCCTTGGCAGGAATTAGAAACCAAACCAGCATGCACTGATTTTGCCTGGTTTAGTCTTCCAATGGTAACTTTGTCATGACCCCAGGCTCCTAATCCATCCATGTTTCTATGTAAAACTGCAAGGAAACTCGCACATGCTTTTCTGGATTCAGGTGGTTTAATTTAGGGAAACAGAAGAAAATGGTTTCAGTTGCAGTTTTAACCCTTCTAATGCATGCTGCAAGTAGAAGTTAGGAAATGTGGGCACACCTCTGAACAGGGTGGGGTGTGGCTCAGCAGTGGGTGGGACCTTGCACATTTGCTAAAAAAGCGTGACCCTGGTTTGCTGCCACTGTGCTCCGGCTCCCGTGGGAGCGAGCGCATCACTTCCCCGCTGCCCGCCTGGGCCTGCGGCGATGGGCGGCTGTCTGGCTGTCTGGCTGTCCGTCCGTCCCCGCTGCCCCCCGCATGCCCTCCCTCGCGCCGGGCTGGGTTTCAAGGTCGCCGGGCGGTCAGAGGTGTCGCGTGTGCCCGAGGCCGCGATCCCCACGCAGCCTCCTGGCTGCACCCGTTGCCTTTGCTCGGCCTGTTCCATACTCACCTGCCAAATCGAGAATGATTTAAATTGCAAGCAAGCCCGCTAGCAGCCCAGAGGTGGAAACAGCCCCAAGTGTTACCTTTACATAATTATTCTCGCTGCAGCCAGGCTCTCTCAGAATTTCTGCTGTTTGGAAAAGCACCTTTGCAGCACTGAAGCACAGCAAGGACAAACCCAGCAGTCAGTACTCATGTCCAGCTGAATGGACACAGCAGTCACCCAGACAGCACATTAAAACAGGCTTTGACCCCTCTGCCACTGGCTCTCCAGCCTTTTGTGCTCATGTTCCGATTCCGAGCAATGACCCGGTACCCACAGCCAGCAGGAGCAAGCCAAAAGTCATTCATAATTGGGCACCGCTAATGAAAAATCCAACTTCCAACTCTTCCTTAAAAAAAACCCAAAAAACCAACAAAGTTCAAAAGATATTCAAAACTTGCTCAAAAGTCACCACCATCAGCAGACAAGGCTTCCTTTGCCAGAGACCACAGCTACAGCAAAGGGTAAAAGCAAAATTGTAATGCGTATGGTAGCTGTTTCTAGTGCAAAGTTGTGTGTTGGACACCTTGATTATTGAATACAGCTACAAGCAAGCTGCGAATATCAGATAATTGGTTTTGGGCTATGAAAGACAACACCCTGCAATAAATATGCTAAACTTTTATGAAGTGTCCCACTCATCAGGATTCACAGCTAATCCTGAGCACAGCACTACAGCAGAGCTTGAATTTCAAAGCTACAGCAGCCTCTGCAAGGCTGCTGGCACCGTGTCTAGCTGTGAGAGGCGGCAGTGGCTCTGAAGAGGCTTTGTAACCTTTCTCTTCTCTTTCTCTACTTTTAGCAAGTAACACTACTTCCCCAGGACAGAGTTAATATCCTGCTTGTGGAACACTTAGCTACTGACACACGGGCAAATGGTATGAAAAAGAAGTGATCCCCAAAAGACTTGCAATACATACCACTGCAGCTCAAGCCCTTAGTCCCAGCGTAATCTGGTCTTTACACTCAAAGGACAGTAAATTCACAGGAGAATTGGGACACCCAAAGAGTCAGAAAATCTTGTGTAGAGAAATATATTTAGTGCACGCAAATATGCCTGTACTCTGCTGAAATGCAAATCTGCCTTATTGTCATCCTAATCCCCATGCATGACACACTAATAAACAGGGGGGTTTAATACTTACCATCTGCGTTACAGATCGCTTCCCACACTGTGAGCTTGCTTGGTTACAGTTGTGTAGGCATCACGGAGAGATATATCCTGCAAACGACAAGCTGGCTAATCCCTTGGGAGACTTTAAAATGTGAGCTGCAGTTTTCTCACTCTCCGTGGGCACTGGAGTCAGTCGTGCAACGTATGGCAATGGCTATATTCTCATTTCACGTCTGTCATGCAGAGATAATTAAAATCTACATTTCCATCTGAGAGGAACCGTAGGGTTTCCAGATGGGTAACTGTAGTGCATTATTCATACTAGATTAACACTTGCACCAAAAAGCCTTGCCTGTTGCCCTCCCACCTGTTAAGATTACCAACAGGACTACCACTGAAAAGCCATCGTGGGTCCAGCGATAGGGGTATGTGCAGACACGCAGCTCATAAAACTGTGAGTGTACCTCTCCCTCCCCCTTGCACATCTCTCTTCTCGATGAGACAGTCATTGTAACACCCTTCTCCAGCATCCCCCAGATGTGCACTCTTGGCCAGTTCCCTCCTGGGATCAGAAGCTATCTGGCTCTCGCAGCGGAAAGAAGCCAGAGCATATTGGGCCTAATGCAAAATACTTGCTATTGTTAGCCCGCAACATCAGCAATGGTTATAATATTGTGAATGAGGGATACCCAGCTTCATCAGCAAGCCAGTAAAGAGCCCGCTTCAGAGTACTGAGCTGGCCACCCACCCAGAGACATTACACCAGAAAGGAGGTATCGGGCATCACCGTGCTGGATGGTGCGTCTCAGTTTCCCAGACAGCAGGGGCTCAATGCGCCAGGCTGTAGCATAACTGCTGCCAGAAAGCCACCTAGAAGGAAAAGTCTGACCCGTGAGAGGTTCTCATATATTGTTGGGGGAAAAACTGCAAGCAAAGGAAAAGTGTCCAAAAGTCGTGCGGTCCCTGATGTGCAGCTGGGGTCTAGAAAGCCACTGGTGGGGCTATGTGAGTGCAGTGGGACCACGCTAACTTCTGCAGATAAATATGCCAGCCCCAGTCGGACAAAGGCTTTGATATTTTTCAGCTCCTCAGGCAAAAGACCACTGGCATATGCTCTTAAATGCATTTCCCCAATTTGGTTTGGAGCTTCAAAAAACCATTAGACTTACATCAACCATGAAAAAATTTAATTCCACCCCCTCCCCTTTCTGAATTTAGAATGATAAAGGATCAACAGTTATGTCTGGAGTAGAGAAGCAGATATTACACACATCTTGCTTACAAAATAGCTCTGGTTTTCATGAAACAAGTTTATTTTCCTCCCCCAGCCATTGATGAACACATGACAACCGTACAGAATAAAAGCTCAACTCCTTAGTTCTGCTCACATTCACTCAACATTTGCTCTAATCAATTATCTTATTTCATGCAATAAGAAAAGAATGAGATTCCTGTTATGCAGCCATAATCAGTTACAGTACGAAGCTGTGTCTGTGGAACATTTCTGATTTTGAAAACTAATCATGTGCTCTGCCATTACATTTCTCTTGTAAAACACTGGGCTTTTACCCAACTTGCTTCTCCCCTCATCCCTCCCTCCCCCCACTTTAAAAATATTGAGGGCACAGTCTAGTCCAAGATGCCACGTTCTTACCCTGCAGAAGCTAGCCAAATTGCACTGTAAGGAACATATTTACCCAGGGAGCCAGACTCTGTTTTTCTAGTTTATTGGAACATAAAAGCATAAGCGGATATCCCCTGCAGAGGAAGACAAAAGAGCAGAGGGTGCTGCATGTGACAGTGGATGGCTGTAGGAGGATAAAAGTCCCGACTTCACACGAAGGGCTGAATATTGATCTCTAGGGCAGAGCATGGCATGGTGAGCTCAAACTTGGTGATAACATCGGGGTGTAGGACTCCAAGTTTTCCAATGCTTTGACCTTTGGCAAAGATCTCAGCACAGCGACCAGGAAAGAAAGCAGAGCCTGTAAAGAAAGTGAGAGAAAAATCAATATTTCTCCAGGCCAAAGAAGTCAATAGGCATTTAACATGGAGAACAAAGCTCTCAGTATTAAACCGTTCTCTGTGCTGAGATGCTAAGAGGCTCTCACTTTCTTGCATTAACAGTTGTCATGATTGATAGAGAACGAGGAAACACTTTGAGTTAAAAATAAAATGCGAAGCCCAAAGCGTAGGCATTTTTCACATTCCAGTTGTTTTGACTAAGTTACTCCCATAATAGAAATTAGCACAGATAAGTCGAGTCAGAGGGCTACTGAAATTAAGAACTTTTGCAGGCTTTAGGCTATTTAACACCTGAATGTTTCCCACCTTTCTCTGTTTAAGGAAATAAAGCTTGCTGTCATCTAAGGGGTAAGTAGGCATGTCACGCTTGATTACGTGTCACATAATTAGAAACAACCTACATTCCTCATCTGGAGAAGAGCTTTTAAGCAGTTTCATATACACTGTAAGACTGTGGAACAATGAACAACTCAAGGAAGTTGAAGAACATCTTCCTCTTACCTCAAACTAAGCCCCAAGTTTGAAATGTTATTTGGGAGTTAAAAAAAAAAGAAAAAAAACAGGTGAAAAGTCGTTGAATTGGCAATGAAAAACTTGGAGCAGCTGTGCAGACTTTTTCACAGAAAGCCCTTCCTACCTGGGAACTCACCCGTGCATGGTGGCTATACCATCAATATATTCAAGCTTGCCTATCTTAGCTATGGTTGTATTTTTTAGGTCTCTGTCCTGCACCGAGTGGCAGTTTGACGTGATAGCCCTTTAAAAGACAAAACCAAACCAGCAAGCTGCTCCTTCTGAAGCCACCTCTTTCATAACAAGTGTGTGGAGGCAAGGCACAGTGCGCAGGACCTCCAGTGAGTAGTGCTGCAGACGATGCTGTGAACTCGAAGGAGGACAGGGGAGAGGATGAAACAAGGCCACTGAATCCTACAGATCCTCCTGTAGAAAGCTGCCTCCGCCACGTCTGTAGTGCTACTGCCCTTGCAGAGAGGGAAGGGCTCTTTACTAGATTGCCGCTCAGAAGTTAAACAAGTCTGCAGGGACAGCATCGGGGACCACTCAGCTTCCCTGCCCTCACCTCCTGCTCTGCATCTTTCTCTCAATAGGCTAAAAACCAACAAAGCATCTTCTGCAAGAAGAGCTGGTTATTCAGGTATGTGTGAGGTTGCATCGGCGCGGATGAGGAACATCCCTGCTCTACTTGCTTCCGTGCCGGTATGAAGCCAAAAACTGAGGAGCTGCCTCCAGTCCTGCTCCCTGCCTGCCACCAACACGGCACTCAGCCCAGCAGCATCCTCTGCATCCTGCAAAAGGATCGCAAGAATTTCCTCATGGCAACTTACTCTCTCATTGCTCCAAATGCTAATTAAGGTTCAGGATCAGCCCAGGACATTTTACTGTGTTTATAAGGAGCTATTTAAAAAAAGGCAATAAAGGGCCAAATTAAACTCAAACCTCAGGAACATTTTCATGACACTCTGATCACTAGTGGTCAAGCCCAGAGACAGTCTTTGTCAGCTTCTCAATGGAAATAGTTCATTGAAGTACTGTCTCATATGAGTTTCGTAGTCATAACTTGCAGCTACAAGAATAAGAACAGCAATTAGGTCTTTTTCTTGTCCAACATCCTGCAAGTGCAAATTAACTTAAATGTGTAATTCAATTTTGGCTGCCTTGTGAAATCTGACGGCAGTAATAAATGATCACGTTACCTAAAGGCTGTTTTAAAAAATATTCAGAACCAGTATCTTTTAAATCATCCAGTTCCAGACTTAGCTACGAGCGCAAACCAACTACTTACACTGGATGTACAAAAGTGAAATTATCTAGCCCCTGGGCATCCCTGGCACGTGACTCTAGCCAAACAGACACTTGCCACTGCCAAGCTGCACTATTCAAAACAAGTGTTAAAATAAAACTTGATGAAACAAATTTAGAAAAGAAACAAATGCCACATATACAGATCACTCTGCAGACTGTGGGTGAAAACATAACCCAGAAATAAAGTACCCTTGTAGTTAGTGGTGAAGGCTTTCCTATTTGTGAATAAAGCTGGTATTGTACCAAGGATGTGAGCAACGCACAGTGACGTTCTTTTAGAAACTTGACTGTAAGCTTAAACTGGCACAAGAGCAAGAATCAAGCAGAAGTTAATAATGTTGGCATGGTACTCTACTGTAAAATTATAGGAAAAAAGAGCTTTGACAATACGGTTAGTTAAAAAGCTGTGAGTCTGACTTGTCTGTTCTTCTGAGTTGCCTTATGTGTAGCCTTGGGAAAGTTACTTTATCTTCTTGCACATCTAGACCCAACTATATCATGAGACTTAACTTTTTAAACTTGCAGACATCTGGATGGGGCCTAAAATAATACTGCACTCAGTCCATCTATCAAAGGCAGTTTCCAAGATCTGTGCCACTTCCCATTGTGTGAAACAATTCTATGTTTTCAGGCACAAGAAATGCTCTGCTATCCGAGCATCACCAGTTGTCGGTCTCCCAGTCAGAAGTTAGGCAGAAGGTGGGCAGGCGGTGGGGGGGCTTGAAGCCTTACCCGACCTTCACATCCACCACTATTGACCTTCCCTAGAAAGTTAACTTCAGTAGAACTTCCCTCACATTTAACTAAATAATATGCATTTGTGATAATTTTTGAAAGCTAATGGCAATTCATGACATTATATTGGAAACTATGAAATGGCTTAATGATTGCAGCATAAAGTGAAGAGTTATGTTACCTAGAATCTTAACACTGATAAAATTTAATCTTTCTTACCATGAGCTCACAGCACAGCTTCATAACACAAGTGAACTGACTCAGTGAACCACACTGCCAAAGGGGATGTGGCTGCTCTCCACCTGGAGCGGGGAGGAGAGTGGGACAAGCTGTTGATTTGGCTGAAGCCTTTGCCATGAAACCATACATTCAGTGTGGCTCTGAATACACTGCTCCAGGCTTTGGGTTAGGCATTCAGACATATTTTCTGTCGCATATGCAGCAACTGATGCTGGACCATGACATTATTTTACTTTGAACTTCCTTGCAGTGAAGAGGTAAAGATATAATTAATATCAAGGGGAAGTGTTTAGCTCCCCAAAGGGCAGGAAGCAGGACGTTCAAATCACCTCTCCATTTCTAGTTCAGCCAACCCTGAAATGTTGGTTACTTCACAGTGCGGTCACTAGTGTGCCCGGTGCTTTGCAGACATGGCACTTGCAGAGTATAATTCTGTGACTGGAAGAGATCAGACAATAAGCAAATAAAAATGAAAGAACCTGTTAGAAGCTTTAGGGTCCCCATCTATCCAGCTAACACTTGGCCCTTGCACCAAAGAAACATGAGCTGAGGAATAGGTTTACAGAGAGTTTATGAACTCTGGTTAATAATGAAACTATTATTATGATAATTGGCTGCACTACAGAATGCTTCAAAGTATATTCCTGCCTGCCAAAAGGGCTCCAGGCTGCATCTCACAGAGGGGGGATCTAAGTTCTTCATCATCTTAGTGACTCTTCCTTTGACCACACGCATGGTAAGAGGAGGTTGGCTCATGACAGAGACTGGGAGTTGTTGGTCCATGTATCTCTGCCAGGGCACCAGAATTTGGAGCAAATGTAAATTTCAGATAAAAAAATTCAGACATTTAAAGGGAAGCACATAAAGAAAGAAAAAACTCAGAAGGAATATAAAAAATCTGAGCAGAAAGGAGGGAAAAGAGAAACGAGCATTTTGTAGCTGGGGGGAGTGCTTTGACTGAGGGACTAACCATGAGTAGAAAAGGAGGCCTGGGCAAGAGGAACCTCACTGTGTTGAAGACAAGCCATGTGTTGCAGGAGGACCTGAGCAATCTACTGAGCAGGGCAGCAAACCAGAGGATTTGCCAAAATAACCAGGAAACAAAGGTAAGGATTCTTTTTTTCCTAATTTGCACATTTCTTGTATTATCAAGTCAACTCTTGAAGTAGACTATAAGAGTGAGAGTCAAGGCTGTATGAAAGATATGTTTATGCTACTTGCACCTCTGGGGAATCAGCAAAAAATGTAGACACTATTATCTTGTTTGAATAAATTGTACCATCAACTGAAGCCCAGTGCTTTTAAGCTTCGATAAAGTCTTGATGCCAAAAGGATTACAAAGGGTGCCTTTGCAGAACAGTTAGCAGCTGCGACCTGCAGCTTTCGAGCAGGAGTTCAAAGTTAACAATAGTTTGTCGTATCTGTGTATGCAATATCATCACAAACAGTATGGTTGTGAAGAGCATGGTCTTCCTGAAGAAAGCTTTCACTAGTCCAGCAGCCACCAAAGCACACCTGGAGGCACCATTATCTGTGCCTCCTGGCACTGATATGTGATGTATGATTATATGTGTTTGCTGCTGGTGCAATTATATTGAAAGGCTGCTCCTGTAGGTCTGGTTGGATGTACCATCAAGTACATTGAGAGCCAAAATTCATTTAAAAATTGTAGTTTACTATACGATTCCATTTTAAGATAATAGATTTATCGCTCTTGATATAGTTAATCCTTTCTGCTCTAAACACAAATACTACTTTATAAACTTCACCCTGAAATCTAGTCAGAGATCGTATTGTCATTGCTGATAGGGACCTATACAATGCCAGAGGAAGCCAGAAGGTCTAGCAATGGAAATCCACTTCTTAAAATGCCAACATTATAACTGGTAGTTACGAGAAGGGGTGGGGTGAAATACAATATGCGTTCTGAAAGAACAGATGCCAAAGCCAGCCATGTCTCTTGCTGACATACTACACGCACGCGAACACCAAAAGCTACTTCTCGTGGTTGCAAGTAAGAATTTAATTTCCAGTGTTCAGTGATGTAGAAATAATACCTTTAATTAAAGCTTCTGTAGCATGTCCTCAAAATCTGTAATTGCCTCTCTGTATTCAGGTAACAGGGCTACTTTGATTGCTTTGGGGTAATTCTTTGGCCAATAATCCAATAGAGCAGGTAGTCTTTAGCACATTTTCTGGCTAATTGACCCTCAAAGAGCTCAGAGTTCCCTGCACTCTTTGTTGTTAAACACCTTGCACAGTTTCTTTTCTCTACCTTACTCTCCCTCCTTCTTAAAAAGAAATAAGATTAAAGTAGTATTATAGGCCTACAGTTGCACTAAGCCTTCAAACCCACTTGTTTGTTCCTATAATTTAAAGGAACATTGGCAGCTGAAGCTTAAGAAGGTGATAAAGCAGAGCTCATCTGGCCTGCAAAGTCTTTCATCTTAATTCTCCATCCCCTTAGTTGCTCCAGCTGCCCTTTCACTACCTCATCCTGATTCACCTGGTGAAGTATTTTACCTGTGCTACATTGGATGGAATTCAGTTTTGTGAGGCTAGATGGTCTTCTTTTCAGAATCAGGATCTTTACATTTTCAACTAATTCCTTCTTTTGGCAGATAAACTCAAATGCAAAGTCACTGGATGCTATCAGACCAGTCAGTATTTTAAAAGGCAACTACCACTTCTTGCTCATGTATGCAGTGCAGTCAGGCTCCCAGAACCTTATGCAAAGCAACAGCAACCTCAAAAGCATATCTTCTCATGGGATGATTTACCTTCAGCTAATTTTTAAAATCACAGGCATCTCAAATCTTGCATGATTTTTGGAACATACAACTGCTCTTTTAAGTTGCACAATGTCAGCAGTTCTTCCCCCATATACTTACATGCCCAAAAGAACCATACTTTAGGATCAGTGGGATATTTATTAACTTTAGTTTTCTGGTTTGCAACTTGTGACCAAAGTTGTGTCAGAACAACCTCCACTCCCCACATCACACCTAACTGTAATGACATGTTAGGAAGTTCAAATCAGTACAATCACACTTAAGGTAAGTGCCTTAGATTTAGGTTTTTTTCCCTGTAAAGAAAATAACACTTGAAAAGATGACTGAAGAAATATCTGTATGATATGAATGAACATGTCCTCTGTCTAAAAGGCATCTTTCATTCTGTTTTCTTCCTATGTTTTTTCAAAAGCCTCCACATGGAGGGCATAGCAGAAGAGGGTAAAGGGACAATCAATTATTTACCTGGACTGGTACACTGGATATCCAAAAATAGAGTTGAATATTAGAGTCTTTGTGCAGACAATGAGGCTAAGGAATATGAAGAATCATCCACAAATTTGCAGTGGTCAGGTGATTAATCATTTTCTTGTGTTACAAGTCAATGGCTGCATTTTTATTAACTTGTATCTCAGGGAGGGTGTGAGAAAAACTAATTCTGTAAAGTTACCATTACATAGCTAATCTTTGCTTTCAGGCCAGTTTTATCTGATTTAGCCAGATTTAACTGAAATGTTATACTTCATCCCGTCTAAAAGTCACAAACCTAAGCTGATAGTATGTCACAGCTGTTTATAAAATGTCTTGCTATTTCACTTGAGTTAGAGAGCACAAAGCTCTGAATGTTAAAAAACTTTATTTCTTTCTGTTACATAAATGTTTTTATCCCTTAATCCTTGTAAACATCAGAATCTGTCAGAAACTAGGAAACAATAAACCACATTCTTTATGGTAGGGGTTATAACACTATATATGCACAGTAAATCAGCAGATTTTAGATTTTAGCTCCTGCTTTCATACAAGCATTAGAAAACAAGAATCAGCACTAAGTCAGCCTGCAAGTCTACTTCAGTATGTCATATTTAGTTTGCATGTTGTTTATTCACTTCATGTCCTAGACCAAGCCATCCTTCCCCTCCCAATTGACATTACTTGCTGAGATAAATAACAGCCACCTGATGTTACGCTTTCACAGCTACCATGTTTCATGCCTTTCAGAAAATGACTTGACAAACTACCATGGAATAATACATAATTAAACAATGAATCTCAGCAGTCACTGGAACTGTTAATCACTTAGTTTTAGCAACTAAGATTTCTGTTGCAAACCAACACCTTGTGGCTGAAGCACGTGGCTGTGCCACCAGGAACAGAAACGCTTGCACTGGCTGAGTGTGAGCTGGCCCAGGACCAGAAGCAATACTGGGCCTACAGCAAATAGGGCTATTCTGCTTCTGGACCCAGACATGGAGGGTTTGTGCCCAACGCATGTACTGGGTTAATTCTGCACTACCTCAGCATTTTTTTACTTATCTACTGTTTTCTAAGACATACACCACAAGCAAAGGTAAAGTCAATTCCTCCACCATGAGCAACAGAAATACTAATCTTGGGATCCTGCATTAATATTGATTGA